GACTGACTGACTGACTGACTGACTGATTGGCTGACTCACCGACCGACTGAAAACGAGATTTTGCTTGACTGTCTGACTGACTTAACTGCTGCCTGACGGAGACTGACTGACTGACCGAACCGAATTAGCGGTTGACTAATGTAACTATTATGTGACTAACTTTCTTGCACCCTGGCTTTTCTTTTTTTTTTGCTCATTTCCATTAACTTTCGTTTTGTTAAAGAAGCGATATCATTCAGTGAGACTCCGTTAAGATAAGATAAACCAATGGATCCAATTCAAGCCTCCGAGTGATTGCGCTATTCCTCAGCGTGGAAAATATGACAAGTTAAGTTACGGAAATACAGGCAACACGCTTACCTTCGAAATATCTTGGAGACCGTCTTTGAATGGCAGTAAACAGTGTGAAAAATCCACGAAACTCCCAAACACAAGATTGCGCCGACAAAGAAGCAGCTAAAGACAAGTTTCTCTCGCCAGTCTCCAGGGAATGGATTAGCAACAGTGACGGGTCGCACAAGCATGTACGATGTAATACACACAAACACAATAAAACCAATCAAATGACTCCAAATGTTACCCGTTTCACTGTGAAGTTTAAAGATACTCTTAAAGCAATATCTAAAACATGGCATAGGTGGTCTGTGGAAACTGGATAAAAATTCATTTCCGCGAAGCCAGTCTGGTAGTTCAGAATGGGACAGAAGGTGTTTTTCATTATGATATACCAACTCTGATTCCTGGCGAAATGATTTCTTCCTCTGCAACACCATTCCTAGTCTCTTGTGAATTTTCTTTTGCAGCGTTTTGCTTTCTTTCTTGTCTGTAAGGAGTGCCAGTCATGTCTTTTCAACAGGATAAGCCTCCTTTGAGCTCGTAAATGAGTACGCTCCAACAGAAAAAACCTAACCCTGCCCAGTAGGCAAACATCAAATGAATAGCTACAACGCCGGTTTAAGAAATCTAAACAGTACTCACTATAAGTCATCGTATTCACCAGCTTCAATTAATTCTCACACTATGCTGAAGCTCTCCTTACGATTTCGGTTTCAATAGAGCTCGTCCCCTGTCACGCGTACGATCGCGTCCGTTCATGCAAAATATGATTTTTTGTGCTATTCTGTTACCCAGTAATTCAAACCTGTCCATAATTCGAAAAGAATGGTTTCTTGAATTAGCTTATCAAATGGAAACGCACAGTTGAAATCCCTCAAAGCCGCTAATGATTGACTCCATAGAAAATATTGTCTCTAATGACGCTACAGAACATTAACTTCAGCTTAACGATGTAAACTTTTCTCTCTTAATTGAATGTATCGGCGTTGGGCATAAAAGTAAAGTCTCAACAGAATGAGTGTAAGGTTCAGTTATTCGAACGACTCAGAGATGCGTCGCAAAACAATTCGATTTATAATACTATTTAGTGTTGTGATGAAGATTATCGACAAGCTGTCACTTAATTGACCAAAGCATAAGCCCGGATATAAAAAATCTCCCTATTATCTTTCTGTGTGTAGTTGACATACCTGTCGTTAGCAGTTCTTCTTCTCAGTTCACTGATGCTTATCTGCGTTGCGGTTCAAATTTATAAGGATTATATTGCTCTTTACGCTTTCATTTGAGCAACTGAAGGATAAAGATATTTTCCGAGCATTTAAGACCTTAAGTTTATGTTGATTTCCTCATTGGTTTCATCGCTTCTGACTGTTAACCGACAAAAGAAAGAGAGTCCGGTCTCACCGAGTCTTAATCTTTTCAGAACCCTAGACAATGTTTAATAAATCATTCAAGCGCATTACTAAGTGGTACGGATATTTTCATTCTTATGGTTTTCGAGGCTTTGAAAACAAAACTTACGCTTCAAATCCGGACTAATCTTTCACGGACTCTGGGAACTTCAGAAAGGTAATAACTGTGAACATATCCTTAGTTGTTATTAGATATCCTTACTTAGTCCTTGGCTGTAATAGGAAATTATCAAATTTAAGCTCCCCTTATGGGTTATTGAGGAAAAATACACAAACAGTGAAGCGATACAGTTTGGTGTAACTGAACCTGCGTTTCATTACCACAGACTGACCACCCGATTAAAATCCTCCTTATTTTATGCCTATTTTTTTCCCAACCCGACAATAAAAATTTTGCGAAAAAGAGAAGAAGCAGTCCACCACTTTCTCGTATTTTGATATTTCCAAAATATATATTTTCATAATTTCCTCCAAAAGAAAAGAAAAGAAAAGCATTAATATTCAGTTCAGTACCACCTTACATTAACAATTCCCTTTGTGGTTTCACAGGAGCTGGTTCCCAAAGCAACATGAAGAACCACCGTAATTATATCAACAGTCTTTCGCAGAAAATTTTGAATATTCCGTGTCAAACACTAGAGGCCCACTTTTTTCTAGTCAGTTCATTGTATTTCTCCACCAGTCAATCAGCGTTCCAGAGATTTCAGTTTGCTTCTTGGTGAAGTGGGATGATTGGTATAATGTTAGAATCGATTCAGCAGCGAAGTCAAGAATCCAGTTAAGACCAAATAGCCTAGCAAACCCAGTGCAGTTTTGGTGAGTCCCTTCAGGTCGGGACAGCATCAAATAACACCCACGTATTGCGGGCGCACAGTAAGCTCGCTCCGCGAGTTGCTGTTGCGGTCAGCAGCATTATATAATCGGACTATTTCCGAGTTCTCAAACTTCACACTTTCTAATTTTGGGATTTATCTGCAGGAGACTTTAAAATCATTTATATTTCAAAGGCTTCACAATTGTAATCAATTTAGAACAGAAGCCCGGTCTCAAGGTATCCCGGCCCGAAAACGATTAAATTACTTCTCCTGGTTGGAAATTAGTAAAATATATTTCAAAGAAAATTTAATTACTCCAAATGTCGCCCAGATTATTTAATTTTGACAAGAATATCGTCTTCCAGTGCATGAGTTTATATATTTTTCCTGACTTTAGTATCAACTAATTTCGTTTTATTGATATTTTTTGCTTTCATATCCAGCTTTCAACTTAACCCTCCCCAGCGTGTATTGAGCTCGTAAAGTTTTGTTTTCGTAAACATTACTCTGACTCCAGGTTTATCTTTCTCTAAATTCACTTTGTTAAGCTGAGTATAGATACAAAGAAGGTAAGAAGTGGTCTTATGTCTTCAATCGGTGAGGGTGAACTTTTAGGAAGAAACCGTTTTGGGACATTTTGTATGTACTGCAGACGTAAATCGATTTTTCTTTGATCAATGCTTCACTAAGTGAATCATTCAGGTGAATATAAGTAACGGCTGGAAACATTTTTTTATTTTTAGAATACTTGTAAGCTCCTCGATTTTTTTCCTTACTCTGATTATGAATAGCTACCTGGAAATTAACTAATTAAGTTAAGTTAGGCTCTGTCTTCACTCACATTTTGAAATTTTTGCCAACTCGGTGTCAGTCATTGATTATTTTATCATCGACAGTAAAACTCAGACTTTCAGCGAAGTTTTCCTACTGACAATTTAAAATTCTAACTTTGCACTCTTTACATGTGGAGTAAAATTTATTTACATCATTGAAATAACCACAATGAAGATCTAGACTCTTTCACAGAAATTCACGAAAGTTAGGGATAGGAATTACCGTGATGATACTCGACATCCGAATTGTTTCTTACCGATAGAAAACATTATCAGCTTAGCATACCTTGAGCCACCTTCGAAAGAAAGGAAAATAATAACGCCAATGTGATGTAACCTCTATCATGACATAAAACGCGTGTATAAAACTTGGTTTGTGGTTGGAAAGTTAAGCTGAATTTTTTATATGATGAGGCGAAAACAATGTGCGACTTATGACGACTCCTCTTCAAGTGCAACACGAAACAATTTCGTAATAGAATGGTTTTAGGTTAGTTTTGGAATCTTAGGCCTTAAAGGGTACGCGTAATTTCAATGAGTTTGCGACTGATTCGAGTGATATTTTGAAATGAACATCTCTAATTTTAGGAGGTAGAAATGCCGAGTTTAAACATATTCAGTTCGAAGGGATTATATCACTTAATTGTGTACATTTAACCTGTTTTATGAGAAAGTCAAGACAGGTGTAACTAAGAAACGTGGAGCCCTGGGGACAAATATGTCTAATTATTCATTTTCTCAGCCTAGAAGGTGATTCTAATTTGCCTATCATCGCGTCAGAAAATCGTCGGAAAATTATTACGCAAGAAAAAGAACCAAAAAAAAAAAACACTTTACTGGTAAAATTTTAGCTTGTGCAGGAGATATCGCTTCTCATAGAATAGCTGATGAAAAAAGCTTTTTCCCACGGTCAGGACTGTATGTCTATCTTTTGTGTCTTCGCAGAACGGCACACGGTTACTGCTTTGTTTAATTTGTACGTAACCTGAGGCGATAATCGAAGCATTAGTGTGCCTGCCAACAAAGTCTAGGTTTCAACTCGCGAACGCCTTAAAATTTGTTTACATTACGGTTGATCGTAGTTACAAGTTACTACAAAATACAAGTAGAAGGAATAGAAAAACTCACAACAACAGAGGAAATGCGATCGGACAAGGAAAGATACTTACAAAGATTGTATGACTTGTGAACGCGAAGGACGGAAAAACTTAGACATGAACTCAGTGAAAGGAACGATGTTAAACTTAAAAGACTCTGATACCCTAATGTTCAAATTTACTGAGAAACTTATACAAATGAAATGATTCATATTCTGTTAGATTTTTTCGTATAATTTTGCTTTGTTTAATTTCGTTTTGTTGACGCTTCTCGGTAAAAATTCAACACTGGAGTATCAGCGTCCTTGAGATTAACATCGACTCCTTCATTACGATCAGCTCTCAGTTTTTTCCGTTCTTCGTGTGTACAAATCACACCACCTTTGTAAGTGTCTTTCCTTGTCCCATTGCTTTTCCTCTGTTGTTTACGTTTTTCTATCCTTTCTACTCGTATTTGTAATAACTTGTAATTGTATGTTCTTTCAGCAACCGCGATCGACCGTAATGCAAATAAAGTTAAAAGTGCGCGTTGAAACCTGACTTGTTGGCAGTTACATAAACACAAAAATGTCGTTAGGAACATAACTTGAGAAAAAAGAAATTGCTAGTTGGGAATGCCGCAGTAACAATTATGTTTACTGACCGAGATGTCTTGTGCCTATCTTTGTGTCCTATGCGGAATACGGGCCCAAATAATGCATATGGCACATTGATTAACGACCAGGGCTCGGTTGTTCAAAGAGCGGATAACGATATCCAACGGATAAATTGCTATCCAGCGGATAATTGTTACCAAAAAGTACTGCTCTATCCACCGGTTAGAGATTTATCCAGTGTATAGCGTTATCCATCCTTCGAACAACCGGGGCCAGATGATTTCGGGTGTGAAGGGAAACAATATAAATGCGTAGGTAGAGAGGTGTGGTGATCATAAGTGCCTTTAGACTAAAAGATGATAATAGCACTACCTGCTCGAAAACCTAATTATTCTTACTATGCATTGCAATATATTCACTTCATGCCAACAATGATTAGACCGACTGTAAAGCCTTGAGAAAGACAGACGCCCATAACGCTTTACAGAAATAGAGTCGCGTTATTAGGTAAGTTCCAAGAATTCTTCCATCGCATTGGTGTCCGTTAACTTCGCCGTCTTTTCACCAGATGAAACACCTCTAGACCGACATCAATGAAACGGAACTTCAGACAAATGATGTGATAGACTCTAGGTGAAAAAGGAAACGTTAGTGAAGGAGTACTTGTTTTGAACTTCCAAATTGTGTCATTCGGTAAGAAGTTTCTCATTCTTCGGACGAAAAAAAACTGCAGGCAATTGAGCGGATTCGAATCGCTCAAAACGCTTCTGAGCTCATGAAATGAAACCATCCTATAGGTATAAGCCTGATTGTGAAAGTAAACGAAATGTTTCATTCAGAATTTGGCTCTTCGGCATCATCTGTTATTTCTGAAATCTCATTCATTTCGTAAGTAGCTCCTTTTTGCTTCAAGTGATCTTGTTTTGCTCTTCATTTTCATGGAATTTGTCAGGTATAAAATGTGACCTTAATTTTTTTTATTATTACTAGTTCGTTGTCAAGCTAACAATGAATGATCTGATAAATGCCATGTTTGACTGGGATTTAGTTTACAAGAAAAGTAAGAATGTTATCCAAGGCCGCTGTATAACACAACTACAATTTGGTTGACTGCGCCATGATAAACAATATGCGCAAGACCTTTCGTGATTGTAGAGAAAAAATAAAAACTATGTAAAAACGAATTCCAAACAAATTATGGCATGGGCAAGTTATTTTTATTTTCTTGCATCCATGATGTTCTCTTGGTTCCATGTTCTGACATGGCCATATTCGGCCTTTGCAAGGAATTTATCAAGCACGTAAGTTAAACTAAACAACACAGATTTTACACCGGTTTTTTACCCTAATTTTTATAAATCTTCCATGATCAGTATCCAGTGCTACGTTACCTTCAAAAAGGTATTTCACAGACTGGCTAATTACGATTTCTCAGTGAATAATTCAATATGCGTTAATTGTATGGACATACGTCGATGAATATGAAGACAAGACCAGATTTTTATGCGCTTCTCCGAATTTTTATTCTATTGTCTTAACTATCATTTGTAAACAAAGATATTCCTGCTAGATAATACAAAATATGCGTTTAAATTTCAGAATGAGGTGGTTCAGCTTATTTTGGTTACCTCTCGTTGCTGGATGCAAATTTACAAATTTCACCAAAGAAGATGGAAGCGCTCTAAAGGATCACGTAATGAAAACTGTCACTGTATTTCAACCATTAGCTTGTCATTGGCAATGTGTAGACACTCCTCTGTGTTTTTCTGTGAACGTAAGGAAGCTACCAAGTGGGTGGGTCACGTGTGAGCTAAACAATTCTAGCAAAACCGCTGACCCACAGGATTTGATACCAAGCAGCGGAAGCCAGTATTATCAAATGGCGGTAAGCGGGGAGAACCTTCAATTCTTCGGTCATGTCTGTATTAATGATATTTGTGTCTAGCAATACATACTTTGTGGAAAAGAACCATTGACTTTCCACTTGTCCATTGACCGTTCTATTATCTACGAAGTCCTCGCCGAGAAAAGTCGTATGTTTTTATTGAGTATATTCAAAAATATTTCCTCACATTTTAAACATGCCGGAGTTCGATTCCTTGCTGTTTAGGATTTCCTTTCCAAGTTGATTGAATGCGACACTAATTATTGAGAATGACACATCCACACACATCCTTTATCATTGATATCCAGAATAATTTCAGTTTCTCCCATTAAAATTGAATGTTCCATGACTCTGAAAAAATTAATCAGTATTGTGTTGATTGTAGGAAACTTCACATTGCACCTTGGAAGAATGTACCTATAAAGACGGTAATTTCTTATTTATGATTCGTCAAAAGCCCTCATTTTCACTTACTAAAATATAGTAAATTATCTCCCAGCCCTACCCGATGGGTGGCTTATGGTTGGATCGAAACGCATCAAGTTGTTTCACGGAAGAAAAACTTGGGGGCAAGCGAAAAAGTTCTGTAATTCAATTGGTGGAGAGCTGGTGTCAATCACACGTGCGTACGAAAATGAGTTTGTCGCTAATTTAGTCCTTCAAGTCGACACGAGTACAACAGGTAAAAAAAATAATTGAAACAGCTTAATAGAAAGGTTTTGTAAATGATTCGTCGTTAACAATTGGCTGGACTACAAATAATATAATGTTTTTATTCGATCTAATGAAAAGGAATTTCATGATACATAACAAATCAATTTAGGAAAGATTCATAAAATTGCATACAAGCCGGAACTAAACTGATATTACTAAAAGTTCAGCTGATAAACGACATGACTTACCTCTGTGGCGTCATCCAGCCAAATTGTTTCAGTTCCGATCAAAGCAGGTCAGCGAACAGTTCAATAGGTAAGCGAAGAAAACGTGCTTGTAAGCCGAACGCGTGGTCAAAACTGTTTCACCTATGGATCAGAGGTTAATTTTCTGGCTTAAGCGCCTTTGCCTCAAACTTTTAATCACAGTTATTAATCAAATTAATTTGGATATATCAACAAAGTTGAAATGGTCAATTGGCCGCCGTAACGATTACAAAAGCTGACGTTTCGAGCGGAGCGAATTAATCAAATTAATCAATTATTAATCAAATTTCAATTAACATGTTAACTTGAACAGGAACAACTATTGTCATTTAGTCAACGAAGCATGTTGATTCTCCCTCTAGTTGCTACACATTTCACTGTAAATGAGTAACGAGAATTTAGCGTCAGATCAAGATCAAGATAACCACTTCTACCTCAGTGATAACTTTGAGTTTTCTCATTACCTGTTTACCGGATAATGTAAAGACATTCTAGGGAGAAGTTACATGTTAATCACCTCTGGGAGTTGAATGGTTAAGTTATTATGAGTTTAAAATTGTTTGCATTAATCGTATTATATTTATATAATACAAGGTGAAGAGCCTTACCACATCATAGCACGCTGGTTTTTGGATGGCGCTGACAGTGACGTCAGGTGAGACATTAAAAAGCAAAGCATTCTGCTTTGTTCTCGACGGGTCAGTAGCGACCGATTTTCATGACCAATCATTTTGTCTTTAGAAAATATAAATTTCTGTCTAAACTGAAAATAGCTGAAACCCAATAAAGTACTTTAGCATATCCTAAAAAAACAATTGATGGTGTTGAAGGCGCACGCTAATTGGCTACTCAAGCTCCGGATATCCTTTATTCTTAAAAACTGGATTATTGGATAATGCAATTCAAGACTTTTTATTGGCTTAGCCATTATAGTATACGAGCCAATATACCATAATCTACAAATATGGTAAGCGTACGCGTCAGCTTAAACTTTTTTTTTTCATTTTTTCATTGTTTTCAAAGCCTCTTTGGCGGAGCAAGATACGAAGAGGAAAGTGGTGAAAAATCGTTGTACTTGGACGGATCGGGTGCCCACGCTACGACCCCAGCGGTTGACTTTAACAAGACTAGTTTTACCATAGCCAGCTGGGTAAAACTTCAGACCCCTGTCAATGATCCATCTCCTATTTACACTGACTGGTCATCGAATGATGAAATAAAGTTTCTTTTCATCGCATCCGAAGGGAAGGCTAAAGAGCTTCGCTTTGGAGGTTTTAATCAAAGGAGCGACTGGAAACCATGGCTTTCAGGAGGGTGAGGAGGGGGAATGGGGCAGCTAAAAGTTAAGAATGGCCAAGACTCCAGAAGCTGGTTCTGTCGAAATCCAATTTGTACTTGTAGATCGCTACGCATGATTTTTTGTCTATTGTTTCTTGTCCAGTTGTGCTAATTGTAGTAAAGTTTTGCGTGCGCTTTCTTTGTGTCACTGCACGTTACGTAGGATGTATTTAAACCATATTGTTCATCGTAGTTTGTGCAGTATTTTCCAGTGTAGTTTTGTCAAGTGTAGTTTGTATATTCGTTCTTTTCGCTTCGTGCAGCTTGTTCGCCACTAGGCAAGATTCACAACATCGCAACAAATGTAAGTTTGTATTAGGTAGTTTTCGTCGTCGTTTTCTTTGTAGCTTTCGTTAGGTATTTAGTGTAGTTTATATTATAATAGGTTTTCCTTTCCTGTTTTATTTGCAGTTTTAGCCGTGTTGTTTCGTGTCGTGTCGTTTCGCCGTGTTAAAATTGTGCTTGTTAGAATTAGTCGCCCGTGGCAGTAATAGTGCTAAGTATGAAACAGTTGACCCTAACAGCAGTCTGGATTAAAATTCCCCTCGCATCTCTGCACCTAACGAAGCCCACGTTACTTTGTCGAACTGAATGCGTAGTTATCTATTTGTTTCATGTTTTGGCGGTCTAGTGTGAAACATGTATTAAGCCATTAGGCTTCTGATTCTGAACACCGACGATAATACAAAGATAAAATTAAATTTGACATATGAGTACTCAAGCAAATACATAGACCGGCCATTTTTTATCTCCTGGGGTCGAGGATTTTGGTTGTGTTACTGATCCCTCTTCCCCCCCCCCAATCGACAGTCAATTTTCCAAAGTCCCCCTTTTAAACTATGTTAGAGACGACTGATCCCCTCTCTGTCCCCCCCCCCTGAAAACCGTTTGATCCACCAAATCCTCTAGCCTCCTCTCCCCGGGCGTAAATAATGACCGGTCCCAGTTGAATTAATGAATTGCATCATACTGTAGGTCTCCACCGATTGACCAATGGTTCCAAGCCGCGGCGGTCTGGGACAGACAAACGAGCGAGGTTCACTTATTCCTAAACAGTCACAAAGTCGGAACTCAGCAAGTAGCGAGTGACATATTCTTGGCGGAAACTTCACATACCGCTTATGACATCGGACTGAAGAGGGACAATATGGGCTCTCTCAGGGGAAATTTGAAAAATCTGACGATTATCAGCAGGGCTCTCAGTGTAGAAGAGATTGCCAATATATCAGGTGAATGGAAAGAGATACTTTCTATCAGCTCTTCGACTTCTTCCAGCATGGGCTTACGAAAAAAGAAAATTAACCATAAAACAGACCCTTCTCTCATGTCAAAATTTTTCAGTCTTTCACTCTTAGAGCTCGAGGTGGCGGGCTAGTTAGTAGAGCGCTGGATATCATCAAGGGGTCTGGGTTCGAGACATTGCGAATCGGAGTCAGTGTGTTGTGTCCACTTTCACAGTCTCTCTCTTTCTTTCCACCCAGGACTAAAGATGGGTACAAGTGAAACTTTAGGAAAATTTTAAGAACTTTGAGGGCTTTCGAGTGCTAACCGCTTGATTTTATGAATTTCAAAACCAGCCTAAAACTTAACAATACAATATTTGACCATGATATTGAACATGTTAAAACATAACTTAGCACAACTGGTACAGAGAGACAAGTAAGTAATGTAAATGTTAGCTTCCTGTGCACTAGGCCCAGTTTCTGCTAAGATTTTGTCATTCGACACTAGGTGAAACCTCGGCGCACATGCGTTTTTATCGCTTGTTATTTTCGCCTTTATTTTTCTGATAGGGATCGTTTTACTAGACTCATATCGAAGGCATAGAACATGACAGAGTCATTATGGATATTGTAACAATTTTCAAGGTTACAGACCAGGTCACTTGCTTGTTTGTGAGGCCGGATTTCTCATACGGTATTGTGTTCGAACAGTGCGCCGAGCGTAGTTGATCGGCTGTCATGCATAAAGTTTAACTGGTTTGATCAATCTAACGAGTTAATCAACTGACAATACACTCACAGCCGTTTTTTTTTTTATTTTTTATTTTATTTTGAGGAATTTAAGTCTCACTATTATGTAAATCATGATCTATCATGTCAGATCCTAAGTTTGAAGTAATTGATGGTGTTTGGATTGGAGGGAATGATATCACCACAGAGGGGACTTTTCTTTGGCCTAATGGTAATCACGTGACCTACACCAATTGGGCTGTCAGTCAACCAGACAACAGCTATGGTTACCAGGACTGCGTCGCAATGATAATTTTTAACGGGACCTGGGACGACACAAGCTGCGGGAGGCGACTTCCTTTTGTTTGCGAAAAACAACCCTAACAGTTACTGTAAGTCTCTATTCTTTTAGAATTTAAGCTTGAAGTTGACTCATCGTTTGATTGAAAGAGAAGCCAAAAGTTAAAATTATCAATTTAAAACGGCTTTAATTTTATTTTTAGCAAGAGTTCGCTTTTTGCTAACAACCCATTCACACCAGCAGACAAATTTTAGTTAAACCGAGTTAAACTGAATAAAAATCAGAGAGAACTGAAACAATAAGTTTTTCATAGGTTTTAAGTAATCACTGACTTGTGTTTCAATGTTTTAAACTTGAAGTAAAAAAAACATCAGTTTAAGCGGCTTCCATGAAGAAAACAAACTTAAATATTTTTAAAACATGTTTAACCTTCGGTGTGAATGGGGTACAAGAGTAAAATTATCATTCTCTTTACGTCCAGTTTTCAGTTTCACATTTTGAATGCACTGAAAATTAAGAAGAAAACTCCGAAAACACAAAGTGCTTCTGTTGAAGTTTTTGTAAGTGACAGTTATGAATGACCGTCAACAAGGCTGCAGGTGTTACACGCAATGAAATTGTAATGTAATGTAATTGGCAAATACATGTTTTAAAATTTAACTCAAAGTTATAATCAAGATGGTGGGCAAATATTGAATAATCAATTATCAAAAAATTGAATTTCAGTCTCGCTTTCTGTTCAAGTAAAATGTATCCACTTAAACTTGTACTCATTTGTTATATCGTAACTGACAACAGGCAAACGAATGGGTGGTAAATATATGTTTCAACAGGGCACCAACTAGAATGGTGCCTTAAAAACTAACACTAGTGCAATATTAATAATAATCGTAGAAAAGATAAACAAGCACACAAAAATGAGAAGTAGCGGGCAGAAATAATTTGTCTAAATATCAATTTTATTATCCCTGTTTGTTTAGTTTGATTCTGAATTGGTAACAAAATAATGTGAATATGGATCGAAAGGCGTATACTAATACTTCTCGAAAAAAAAATAAGCTGATAAAAATATCAATATTTAGAACTTAAAACTATTTAATTTACAGTTAGGGTAATCCCTAACAAGCAACATTGATATAGAGCAGCAGTGATCGATAGTGGATTACAATGGTAGGGTTTTTCTTATCATCTCTTCTCGTCATATTTATAAATTAGTTTGCTTTTCTATAACTAAAAGAAACTAAAAGGAGATCACGAAAAATTTATTATCCTCACAGTGACATTATTATGTATATGAGCGACTTTATTCTGCTATTATATTTTAGATTAAATTTCTAATTACAAAAGCTCCCCCCACGTCACAGTTTAGATCTGGGAAAGGTTTGCCACGAAATAAGGTAAGAAAGGTAATATGTTTGTAAAGGCTCTGCTCAGCAGTGACCCTAACGAGGTGAAGGGATATTAAAGCTTACAGTCACGTCGCAAGCCCAAAGGGGATGATTCTTCCTGTTGTAAGGCTTTTTCAAGTATGTTTATCGCATGAAACAAGAAAAAAAATAAGGTACGAAGTACTTGTAATGAGGATTATTTTGTTTTCTTGCATAAACCTAACTGTTTCAAAACCGCATACTTTTTTTGATATGTCGTAAGTAGCTATGGCATAAAACAAAATGAAATGTATAACATAACTTCAGTAGTTACGATACACATGAAATTTGTGGTTATTGAATAGTAAAAAAAGGATATGAGTAAGTAAATTTGTAACGCTTTTCATGTGGTGCTTGTTATTGTAAAAATTTTTGCTATTCTTCTTAACTTCGAAACCGTTGTTACGCAATAACCTTGTAGGGCATTTGACAGTCTGATTATACGCATGATGCACATATTCATCGTAGCAATATATATTCATCGTAGTCTGATTATAGTTTACTATGTTAATTAAAAGTACAGAAAGGATAAACTTAAATTTGCGCTTATGAATAAACTTCCCAAGATTGTCTTACTTGAAAATTGTTCCTTTATTTCTTTTATCTGTTTTGACTCGTAAAACAAGCCTATATAAGGTTTGAGTTTGTAACAAACTCATCCTACGTTAAGCCCTAAATATTTTTTTTGGGCAGTGGTTATAAGGAAGAAGCGCATGTATTCAAATAACACTCCACTATTTTGAAATAATTGAATTCTCCTTTCTTAGGAGAATTTTTTCCGTTTCTTCATCATTCCTTCTCTTTTTGTCGCCCACCAACATCTCCTCCCTTTATCCAGCTTTCTCCCTTCCCATTCTTCTTTTTTCCTCATTTCCACTCTTATCAGTAAACCTCGCTTCTCTTCCGTGATACTAATTGTCTATTGGTGATGTTGTTAGATTTTCACACTCAAAACTTTACTTTACTGATCCCTTGTTATTCAACATTTTCAGTATGAACTGGTTTGCTATAATTTTTTTACCTTGTGTTGCTGGTTGTCAAACGACCAAGTTTGTGAAAGAGCAAGATCACGCTTTAAAGAATCACGTGATCAAAAATGTGATCGCAATTCAACCATTAGCATGTGTGTGGCAATGCGTGGACACTCCGCTATGTTTCTCTATGAACATCAGATCACTCCCGACTGGATGGGTCACATGCGAGCTGAACAATTCAAGCAAAACTGCTGACCCACAAAATGTCAGATTCAGTCCTGGAACGCGTTATTATCAATTGGCGGTAAGAGGCTTAAGCCATATAACCCTTATGACCGACCAATTTATAAAATCTTCCTACAAATTTAATACAATCTCAGATAAGCAAGTAATGAGAATAGAAATGATCATCAACAACGATATCTTGCTTTGATTGATCCTGAAGTTTAAATGATGATACACCTGGAGAATCCCCCTGGCCGAAAAAACAAATGTTGTGGTTGTCATATCAAGGCTATTTGACCTTGGTAATAATTTGTTAATAACTGAAATACATTTTTTTTTACTCGTACATTCTAGGAAGTTGGGCATTGTACAACAGAGCAGTGTATCTACAAAGATGGTAAGATGAAGTTTCAGTCATGAAATACTTACATCGGGCCATGGTAGAAAATATTACTTTTCTCTCTCCTACTATGGCAAAGTACGATAAAGCGCTTTTCACTTCTAAGTGCACGGCATTTAAACATGTCCAAATCCCAAAGTTAAGGTAAATTTGAGGATCAGTCAGTACAAGAATCAAACAAAAGGCCAATGAAAAATAGAGGCACGAGTGGACAACCTTAAACAAGGGAGGATACAGGTCGCCTTTATCAGTTAGTAGAGGGAAATGTTGATCACAGAGCGCAGTGAGCAAAGCTAATGCAAACCAGGATCACTTTTACCCTTCAATCAGTATGCTCCCGTGTATTGTAAGTTTGAAGAGAGGAATATTATAGTTGGAGAATGACTATATAACCATCTTTTGAGTCAATGACACGATATGAAATTTGTTGACTTCGTAATGTGCCCCGACCCATCAATCGGAAAATTCTAAATTTTGACTTTTTTTTTTCAAATTTAGTTCTTCAAGATGGCTGGTTTAGATTTGGTTCCAAACTCCTCAAAATTTTCTCTGAGAGAAAGACTTGGAACGATGCCCGGCAGTTCTGTCATTCGATTGGCGGGAAACTTGCGTCAATTACCCAGGAAAACGAGAATGAGTTTATTACTTATTTGCTTAACGATGTCAAAATAGAAAGAGCAGGTTATCAGATGTTAAATTCATTATTAACGATGCAAATACCTTTCCCTAGGAGGGTGATCGTTACTAGAGGCACTCAGGATTTTTTTTCTTATTTTGCCTCTGTCATATAATATGTCTTAATGAATTGTCATATAATGTCGAGTGCTTAAATAAACGACCATATTAATTTCTATCTTCATCTTTAGGTGAGAACCAACAATTAGACCATGTCATCAAACATTGGAAACTAGACGAAAGTGACGGCGACGTTAGGTGAGTGAAATCGCTAATGATAACGGTCAAAACGAAAAGAGAGGCTCTTTGAAAACTCGCATTTAGTGACCTCAAGCGCGCGATAACGCAGAATATTTCGACACTCAGCCCAAGACTGCCTAAAAGACCAGTCATTATTTATGAACTAGGGGGAGGGGGTGGAGGGTTTGTCAATCAGTTGCCGCTGACAGATTATTGTTAAGAGGGAGCTAAAGAAAATAGACTCCCAAGGAAGGAGGATCATGGGAATACTACATAGCCCTTGAGAATGATCAAGTAGATTTTATTGTAACACAACCCAAATCCTCCTTACCTCCCCCCCCCTTCGGATACCCAGGCTATAGAAAATGACCATCCCTACAATCAATCAATCAATCAATCAATCAATTAATCAATACTTTATTTACCCAGGTAGCGTCAAGGAGCTCACAGAGCTCGTTCAAAATACGTACGTGCCTCTAAGATTAAGAATCTAGAAAACCTAATACATACTGTCAAAACCTAATTGATTAGAAATTAAAGTAACTAACAATTAATATTAAAATTTAAGTTTGTACAGTAAAATTCAAAGTCGCTTAAATACAGGTATAAAATGGTGNATTAGAAAGTTATTTCCCTTATAGAATCCTAGCCAAGGACTTTTACAAAGCTGGGCAGGTTGATTACGTCAGGTTTAACCCTTTTACTCCCATGATGTTATTAGTAATTCCCCTCGCTGTCCGCCATACAATTCTTGTGATGTTACTTTGGAGACTTTTGAATTGGATCAATTAATAATCCCTAAATGATATTTTCCTTTATTCTGATCACTTGTCTTCTTGATATTGTATTGGTGTCGTAAGGAGAAACTCTGCATTGGTCACTCATGGGGTTTAAGGGGTTAACTGAAAAAAAAAACACAAGTGAAGGCGCGGATCTTTCTTTATTGTTTACATAATTTGTCTTGGGCTTCGTTGAAGCCTTTTTACCCAAAGACTGAAAACTAAGAGATCACACTCATGTGCCTCTTTTGTCTTTTCAATAAGTGCCTCAGGAGTATGAGCTGATTCGGGACACATGCTAATGGGACACAGAATAGAGAAAGAATAATACGTTGGTCTATTTGCTCCCAGGTCTCTTCCATATGACAAGTGGTTTCATGCAGCAGCAGTCTGGGACCGAGATGCACACAAAGCTTACTTATTTCTGGACGGTCAAGAGGTTGGGTCCCAGTCAGTACTCAGTGATGCTGTACCTAAAGATTACGACCCATCTAACATATTTGATATTGGAAGAAAGGCGAACACTGGTAAAACACTAAGAGGATATTTGAGGGATTTGATGATCATTGGGAGTGCTCTTACCGGTGAACAGATAATTAACAAAATTACAGGTATTTAAAGGCATACTCACTAATCTTCTTACGTTTCGTACGAGAGGAGAGAAAGTCAATATTTCGCAAAACACCAAACCGTTATATTATAAATTTTACGTTCCATGATAGTTGTGGATTTCAGAAGTCTACTCCAACGATATGACGAAAGTTGACAGGGTTTTCTCATGCTGAAATCAACCAATGTCAAACTTAAAGGCGTTTGGCCCCATTGCTACCACACATTCCGACTGTGCATCCATGCGGTGAGAGCCATTTATCACGTGAGCTCAAACTTACCATCTTTCTTATTCTTTACAAAACACGACGCTTTCGACATTGCTGATCCCAGCAGTATACAGGACGCGTGTCAAAAATGAACTTTGTAATGGGCCTTGCTCGCCATAGTGTCCCTGTGGCTCACTGGTGTCTCTGTGGTTCACTGGTGTCTCTGTGGTTCACTGGTGTCTCTGTGGTTCACTGGTGTCTCTGTGGTTCACTGGTAGAACATCAGAGCGCAGAATCCGAAGGTCTGAGCTTCTATTCCTCATGGGGACTCAGAAGTTTTTCTTTGTCCCACGCTCGTGACAAGACGAAAAAGATCTTCCTATATTTCTTTACAGAGCTCAAAACTTACCGTCTTTGTTATTCTTTATTACATATAGTCAGTACTATGTTATTTCTCAATGAATTGTCAGGATTCTGTTATGAAGCTTCATCCTGCAGTCCTGAGTGTTTTTCACAGGCTTGTTGCTTATTTTCATCGTCAGTTTCCTGTCTTGATTGTACGATGCCATTGTGGTTGCGCGTAAAATAATCAATTTATCCCGACATTATTAAAATCTCGACACCAACGCTCTTCTTTCATCGATCCTTTAGCTAATTTACCTACCTTAACTTAATTTTAACCTTGTAAAGCAAGCTTCTACGCAAAAACGAAAAGTAAAGCATCGTTTTCCTTGTGCAGAACCATCGTTCGATGAAGCTTGGATCGGGTTTAATGACCTCGACACGGAGGGAACATTTCATTGGCTGAACGGCACTCGTGTGACATTTACGAAATGGGCCACCGGGCAACCAGCTGCAGGCACAAGACACAATGTATTATTTCCAAATAACAATGAGGATCATGATTGCGTGGGGATGAAATTTGGAGAAGGGACTTGGAACGACATCTACTGTGAGACGCATCTTCCTTTTGTCTGTGAAAAGAACGCATATGAGTAAAAAAACACACTGCGCATGATCGTTTCAAACTCGGAATTAAAGAAGATACAGATGTAGAATTTTAGATGATTTTTAGGACTGTGTGCGGTAACTCCAAGTCTAAGTTAACCTAATATGACAGTATTTTAACTTTTAAACTCTTGGTGAAAAATTCACGAGAAAAATTAGCAAATCAGCAGCATTCTTTTTCATTATCTTTTACAAATAAATATCCACCGCGGGGCACAATGAAAATAAACTAACATCAATAAGTCATTATCCAAAACCTGAGGAAATAAAGCGCAAGAAAATGAGGAGAAATATAAAATAATCGAAAAAAGGGCATTACTTAGTGTACAGGGAAGGTTAAAAAAACAGTAAAAAGGAATCAGGTGCTACTTCGTCAGCTATTAATAATACGATAAACATAAGCTTGGATCTCCCATAGTTCACCACTGCACTGCAATGAAGAAAAAGAATTGTAAAGCCGGATGATACAGAAACAGATGTGTGAGAAAAAAAACATTTGTAAGCATGACTAAGTCATTATAAGCTTGAATATAATTAGGTTGTTATTAGTCAATAACAAGTTGCATCAAAGCTTAACTAAATTTATTGTCAACACATATTGTTACCTTTGTACTTTTAGTTTCAACGAAAACATATTGATTTGCTGTTACATTAGATCTAAGAACTAAATAAAAGCGACCATATGAAGAGATAGGTAACAACGTTAAAAGTCCTTAAAAAATCGAGGATAACTCGTAACAAATACTTGTCCTCAATGAATTGAATAAAGTTGCCATTAGTAGGAGAAATACGATAAAAAATCAATTTATAGATGGGAATTCTTATGGTTGTTTTTCTGACATTGAACTTCTTCAAGAAACGCACTTTTAGTTAATAAACAAGATAGAAAATTTGTGTTAAATATTCTAGTGATTTTATTTTTCCTTCTTTGTTGTTAAAAATTCGGAACATTCTTAAGAAGCAAGACATCTTTCAGCGAAATGTATGATGAACATTTTGAGTATGGATAATGCAACATCTCTCGGACTGAAATTAAAAAGCGAAACAAAAAAAAACATAAACAAAAGACACTCACGGAAAAAAAATGGTTTTGAGAGAAACAGCGCCATACAAGCTTCATTTTTTTTATTACTTCTTTTCATAAAATCAGTTAATTATCAACAAAACAGGTGTTTTATTTTTCTTTTATCTTTTTCATTCATTTTCTCGATTTATAGAATACGTATATACGGCATAATCGTGTCTAAAATAATGTACAGCAGAACACTAAAATTAACAATAATATATTTACCATTGTTTAGTCAGTCGTATGGAAGAAATCAAACAGAATCGAGCCATTAGGGTCGCCATTAGGGCCTTAAACATCTTCTCCAATTTGAGTAAAAGAAACGCAAGTAAATGGGGTGACACTCGACAAAACTTACTGCTATCACTACGATTACCGAAGCAACACAGGTAAACCTGAACGCGTGTACAGAATTTCTTCTTTTGTGACACAAGCCTGAGTTTCATCAGCTACTAAAAATAATATTAGGATCTACAATGATCCACTATTGTGAAGAAAAGAAATGAAAATGTTGAACAAAAAATCTGCTGTAGTTTGTCAGCTTTTATGTTCTCAAGGTGTTATTGAGTAATATTGAATTGCAGCAAAACTTTATGACATCTATTATGAAAAATACCGTTGGCGTCTTTGTTTTTTGGTTGATATCCCCATAGTTACAACAGCAACAACTAGTGAGCTTGCTGTTAAGTTAGATTTAAGAACAAAATTACAGCGTATACTGCATGTCCAAATATGGAAGCATGTCACAACCTTAAATATCATCGAGAAAACTGAGAAAAGGAAATATATTTCATAACCTTATCGAACAAACATGTCATGAGCTCAGTGGAGAGGATCTTCGATAAAAAAGAAGTGAGTTTCTCAGCGATTTTAAACGGGAATCGTTTTCTTGCCTTCCTGTATTGAATTTTCACAAGAAAATTACGGTCAACTTTTTGTTGTTCTTTCTTTGTCCATATGAAGATCAAAAAATTCTTTTCTGAGGTAACTAAGAAATATATAAGAATCTGCTAACAAAACCTACGAGTCACATAAATAAAGGCTTGGACTAGTTCTCCCAGATTAAAGAAAAGATCAAACAAAACAAAAAAAGGTTCGGAGAGAATTACATGTTTATTTTCTTCAACTTTTAAGATTTGTCTTCAAAGCGAATTTTTTTTGTGTGCCTTGAAAATACGAAATTTGTGAGAGTTCGAAAAAAAGGAAAGCGAGGGCAGAGACCGTCTGTTCTCTTAAAAGAAAAATCTAAGAAACAAAGAATCACTCGCTGGATACATTAAAATATCTCAAATTTGCGATCGTTATTACAATCGGTATCAATCATTACGAACTTGATGCATGCTCTTTACTAATTTGAGTTTGTTCAACTCTATTTGTAACATTGTTAATATTTTATCTTCTCAAGCCTATAGTTAAAGCAGCCTTCGCTGAACTGGGCCCAACTTAATAACTATATTTTACTGACAAATCGGCAACGAGTATTATATGCAAGACTCTTTGGGCCAGTTAGTTAATTTAAGTTAACCCGTTGCTATATACTGTCTTGAATTTAGCTGAATCTTTTATCTGAACTTTAATTTTGTGAAAAGAGTCAAGAGAACCGAAAGCTAGCAGTGGAAAGACATGAATTTAAACAAAACAAACCTCTTATATAGAGAATACGTACGGCCCATAGCTTGCGTAAAACTGTAGTTCGGGTTAGATCTCGTATAAATAACCGGCCTTAGGTGTTTCTCGTAAACGATGTATCACATATAACTTATTTCCAAGTGTATTAATGTCGCATTTCAGTAACAATGATTTTTTTAATTTATCTTCGCAGAATGCATCTGGTTATGACCCTGTTTTCTTTACCTTTGGTGACTGGATGCAGAGTTGTTAAGTTTTTCAAAGAAGAAGGTTTTGCTCTACAAAATCACGTCATTAAAACTGTAACTGATTCTAAATCAATATCGTGTACCTCTCAATGTGTAGACACTCCTCTGTGTTTCTCCATTAACGTTAGAAGGTTATCAAATGGATGGGTCACGTGTGAGCTCAACAATTCCACCAAAACCGCTGACCCACAACATTCGATATCAAGTCCCGGAAGTCAATACCATCGGATAGCGGTGATGCTTTAACTATCCTTGGCATTTAAGAGTATAACCCTATTGTATTTATCTGCGGAGAAGGACAAATTTCCTGAAATCTAGCACGTTGTACTCTTAGTGAATAGACTCATAAGAGAACGTTATCTTTGGCCATGGCGAAAATTTCTAGTACTGGAAATGCTCAGCTTTATCATTTCAATAGATTAGGCTAGCCCTTCTAAATGATACGTTTATCTTACCTTTAGGAAGTTGAACATTGTAGAATGGACCAATGCCTCTACAAAGACGGTAAGCCTCCATAGTGAAACTTCCTTATTCTGTGACGAGCCAGTCAACTTCTCTTGACAATATTTAATGATTTTGTAATCGCTTCCTTTTTCCCTTATTTCTCCCCTGATTGACCCTTTTGGCGTCCATGGAGTTATCTGATAAAACATTCTCTCTAATAAAATCACCACGCTGTAGATTTACTGCTGCATTTTAAGTTCTGTTTTAGCAAGGTTCAAACATTCACGTGACGCGTTTAAACCAATCACTTGCGAGCAAACATATTTGATGGAATATAACACTGTTTATGCATTGTCACAGCTCTTCCAGATGACTGGTACAGATTTGGTTCCAAGCTCCTTAAATTGTTTCATGACAGAAAGACCTGGGGGCAAGCCCAACAGTTTTGTCGTTCAATTGGTGGAGACCTTTTGTCAATAAACCAGGAAAACGAAAATGAATTTGTATCCCAGCTACTCAAACAGATCAAGCCAAATACAGAAGGCACGTTCAAAATTCCACTCTTATTACAACTGTTTCTTATCTCTATTCTATCAGAGGATATATGCTTAGATCCATCATCAGGAGTTACTGTTTTTTATTTYATCAWMWWAWYWAYTACTGTTACTGGTTTGTATTTTTAGAACCTAAGGTATCTTCTTTAACATTTGTATTAGGGCAAAAGCAGTTCAACTATATGTTCTTTCTAACGTAGGTAAAGACGTGATTGGCCATTGGATTCTGGATGGTACTGACGTTGATGTCAGGTTAGGTTCAATACACTCTTAACAGGTTCTCAAACGTCACATTTCCCCTATTATGGGCGTGTCGGGGCGGGCTTTACGTTTGAGAACGAGATTGATTGCACTTCATCCATATTACCTGTTAGCAGCTCAACAAAACAAATGCGCACCGGGGTGGGGCTCCTAAGGTACAACTGATCTACTTATTGTCAAGAAAGACTGATCCGATACGTAATAAAAACAATCTGGCACATCTTAAAATGTCAGAAAGAAGCAATTGAAGGGTACTGACCCCCTGCTAGAAGACTCGATCTGCTTCCCCATAGATTCCTGCAGTTTCTTAACCAGTATTTAAAGAGAAAAACATTTGTTGTGTTTTTAATATCTTTAAGAATTCTCTTATTTTTTTATTGGTAGAATTTCATCGCCAAGTACTTAGGTTTGTGCAGACTGGCGTCAGATTTATTCAGGAGATCCCGCCTTTGTCCCTCAACTTGAAGTGATGGTGAACACAAACTTTGATTAGATTCCGGCTGAACAAAAAGCATCCAATCACAATTTGAAAACTAATCTGTTTTACTCTTTCAACAGTCTTTTCAATGGAGCGAGATATGAAGAAGAAAGCACCTTGGGTGTGAAAGCATTGTACCTCGACGGACTTTATGCTTATGCTACAACTCCAGCCGTTGAGTTTCTGCGAATCAGTTTTACAATGGCCAGTTGGGTCAAATTAGAGGATCCTGTTAGAAGTCCCTCGACTATTTATGGTTATTGGAAAGATCCTCACCTTTTCCGTTTCACCGCCAACCTCAATAACGAACTCCAATGTGAATTCCATGATCACGATGCGCAAGGAAATCTTCAGGGAAAAATCAAATTTAGGGCAGGGTAAGAATATATCAAGTGATCCCTATTGTTGAGTGATTTCTTGCACCGGAGATACACGTTTCATATTTTATTTCCTCGCCGCCCCACACCACTCCCACAATAAATGCGAGAAGTATTTAGTGTCAGGTTGAGGAAGCAGATAACTATAAAATTCGAAAAAAATATCATCTTCGGTCAAATTTAAAAAAAGGCTAGGAAGGACATTTACCATATTGACTTTGACTTTTTAGTTCCGAAAGCCTTTTGCAATTTTTTTGAAATCCCGCCTAGACATCTTGTTTTTGATATATCATTTTGTAACTTAACAGAACTTCGAAAAAGGACGAATGGTTCCTCGTTGCCGCGGCTTGGGACAAGACTAAGAAAAAAGCTCACTTATTCCTTGACGGCCAGAGAGTAGGGACTCATAATGGTCCGGGTAACTTTGATCCAACCGAATTTAAATACACATTCTTTGACATTGGACTGAAGAGAGACGGCAATCACACACTGAAAGGATATTTGAAAAATCTGATTATTGTTCATTCTACTCTGACTGGTGGAGAGATTTTAAGTATGACAGGTACTACTTACTGGCCATAACGGCAACTAAGTGCCGAGTCCTGCAGACCGTACTTCAGAGACTCCCGTTTAGAAATTATTAGAATGATATTGTCACAAGCGATAAATACTCATTTTGAGTTTGGACAAATAGACCCAGATTACCCAACTAGGAAGCGAGCCAAAGAACAAAGGATGTTGCATAGACATAAACTCTTTGAAATAGTTTACGGAAATTTATCAATTATCGTCAGCTTTAGTAGCTAGCTAAACGAAGTGTGAACTAATTAAAAGCAACATATTCATCTTACTCCGCCTTAAGTAATTTCATAATTGTAATTACTTCAAAAAATGAAAGCTAATTCGCCTAATTATTAGCCATAAAAAATGCAAAATTTGTACAGTGATCAATCTCTTAGAATCAAGTTAGACTGCTTTTAACCTATAGACCAACATAACAGTTGTACATAAGTTGCGAATTCGCTTTGGTGGTCCTGTTTCCAATCTGGGTTTACTTTTTCAGATCCAAATAACGAAGCCTTGGCTGGTGTTTGGATCGGTCTAAATGACGTAACCACAGAGGGACATTTTCACTGGCCAGATGGGAGTCACGTTACATACGAAAAGTGGCACGCCAACGAGCCAAACAACGCCTACAAATACCAAGACTGCGTCCAAATGCTTATTAGTGACGGGACCTGGGACGATACAAGCTGTGGAAAGCGTCTTCCATTTCTTTGTGAAAAGAAACATTGAACTGTCTGCTTGATGTTTTGAGCTTTCTGGTATACTGCAGATTTATTTGTCTCAAAGATTTCCTAATGCATGAACCTTTCTACCTTTTCTGTGTCTATTCAGTTCGACTGTGAGCCGAACGATATTTCACCATATAGTTGATGAAAACTACATAATATTTGATACTAACTGACCAGGCTATCTGGTTCGTTTTAATTAATAATTTATAAAGGAAATGTCACATGCCAATTGTCAATCTTCAATTCTTAGGCAACATTTCCATGCCTTTCCTATTTCAGTTTCCGAACTCTGGAACAGTTCGCCTGAAAGCATCCGCTCATGTGACAATCTAAACACTTTCAGATCGAAGCTTAAGACATCTTTTTAAAAAATCTTCTTTTTTCAAAATGATTTTATATTGATCTAGTTTATATTTATTCCTCAATTTTTTGAAGCGCCTAGAGCGGACTGAATAGGCGCTATAGAAGCTTCCTTATCGTAATAACTTCTTTTCACAAAGTTAGTTCATTATCAAGCAAGTAGGTGTGTCTTTCAGTTTCATTTTCTTGATTTATAGAATAAGTATATACGGAAGAACCGTGAATAAAAATATTTTATTATTATGATTGTTAAGTGAGTCCAATGGAAGAACACAAACAGAATCGAGTCAGGAGGGTGTTCAACAGGATGTTCTTCTACAATTTAGTAAAAGAGGCGCGAGTAAATGGGGAGGCATTCGATACGACTTACTGCCATCACTACGCGATTATCAAAGTACACAGGTAAAGTAAAACGCGTGTACAGGATTTCTTATTTCGTGACACAAGCCTGAATTTCATCATCTACTAATAATCATATTACGATCTCCGATGATCCACTATTGTAATGAGAACAAAGACCTAAGAATAAAATAAAATTAAAATATGTAATAAGAAAGCTGCTGCAGTTTGTCAGCTTGAATTGTTCTCCTGGTGTTATTGATTGATATTGAATGGCAGAAAAACTCCATGACGTCTATTATCAAGAACAGCGTTAGCTTTATTTTTTTTTCATATCCCCATGGTTACAACAACGACTGACTGGTGAGTTCGCTTTTACCTTAGCTTTAAGAACAAATTAACAGCGTTGGCAGCGTGTCCAAATATGGAAGCACGTCACAACTTTAAACATCATTAAGAAAATCGAGAAAATGAAATACATATCATGACCTTATCGAACAAACAAGTCATAAACAGGAGAGGAGCTTCGATAAAAGGGGTAACAAGTTTCCAGACGAAACTTTTTTTAACTGCTTTCCTTAAATTGATGTTTTAAAGGCTAAAATACGGTCAGCTTCGAAAAAAAGGTAGGAAATATGTATTGAATATCCCTGCAATATAACTGTTCTTTATAGATCTCTTTTGGTGAGGAAAATCGAAACACCCCTTCACCGAGCTAAGAATCTACTAACAGAATATGCGATTTCTCGCGGTGTAATTTAAACTAAAAAAATTACAAAAAAACCCCAAAGGTCCGGAGTGAAATTATATTTTTATTTCAGTTTCCCACGCGTTTAAGATTTTTCATTAATGTAAAAGCTTTCGTTATGTCTTGAGAGCACGAAACTGATTGAGATTTTGAAATAGAGGAAATTAAGGCAACAACCATCTGTTTACTTAAAACAAGGGAGTTACACGAATGAGCAGAAACGAAACATTTATCCCTAGATTCAGTAAAAGAACTCAGGAATTTGACTTTCGTCATGAAAATGATATGAATCATAACGAACTCGAAGGATGATCTTTGCAAATTTGTATTTTGAGTTTTTTCAGCTGTATTTGTTTTTCACATTGTTTCGATAAGTATGTTTTTCGTAAACGATGTATCTCCAAGTGCACTAGTGTCAGGTGTCATGACGTTATGAATTTCTCTTCACAGAATGCAGTTGATAATGACCTTATTTTATTTGCCTTTGGTGGCTGGATGCAGAACTGTTAAGTTTTTCAAGGAAGAAGGTTTTGCTCTACAAAACCACGTCATTAAAACTGTAACTGATTCTAAATCAATATCCTGTGACTCTCAATGCATAGACACTCTCCTGTGTTTCTCCATTAACATCAGAAGATTGACAAATGGGTGGGTCACGTGTGAGCTCAACAATTCCACCAAAACTGCTGACCCACAACATTTGATATTAAGTCCTGGAAGTCAATACCATCAGATAGTGGTAATGTTTTAACTATCCTTGGTATTTAAGAGTATATATTAAGAACCCATAAGTGAAAAACAATGATGATGATTGATTCGTTACCATGGTGAATCTATCGTTTAATTATGCGGGTACACTCTTGACAGAGAGACTTGTAAATCCTTCTGGTTCGGTCTTGTCAGCTGTATTGAGGGAAATGGATGGAATTAAATGGTAAAAGACTAGACTTTGTGAGTGAGTGAGTGAGTGGCTGTTCTGAAATTTGAGAACACTCCAATCAGGACAAATGTTCTGAATTTAGCACGTTTTACTCGGTGAAGAGGCTCATTATAAAGCGGTATCTAAGGCTATACTGAAAATCTCTAGTTCTGGAAATGCACAACCTTAACATTGTAATAGACGAGGCTAGCCCCACTAAAAGATACGTTTATCTTACCTTTAGGAAGTCGAACATTGTACAGTGGACCAATGCATCTACAAAGACGGTAAGACGGCCCAACGAAACTCCCTTATCGTGTAATGAGCCAGTTTCTTACATACTTTTAAGTTATTTTTGCTAATGCTACCTTCCTCCATGCTTAGCACCTTCTGCGTCCGTGGGATTATGTACTGAAACATTTCTCAGTTTTTATTGATGTCATCATATTCTAGATTCACTGCTGTGTTTTACGTTTTGCTTTAGCTGGTACACAGTCGTTAATGTGACGCGTTTGAACCAGTCACGCGTAAGCAATCATATTTAATGGATTATAACGCTGTTTATGCATTGTCATAGCTCTTCCAGATGACTGGTACAGACTTGGTTCCAAGCTCCTTAAATTGTTTCACGACAGAAAAACCTGGGGACAAGCCCGACAGTTTTGTCATTCAATCGGTGGAGACCTTTTGTCAATAAACCAAGAAAACGAAAATGAATTTGTATCCCAGCTACTCAACCAGATCAAGCCAAATACAGAAGGCACGTCACAGCTGATATTTTGCTAGAATAAGCAAAAGTTTACTCTCATTACACTCCACCCTCTTACCTCAAGTCTATCAAAGAACAGATGCTTAGATCGGTCATCATTAACTGTGTTCTTTTGTTTCATCAAATTTATTCTTGTTTCTCCTTGTATGTTTTTAGTACCAAACGTCAAAGTTAAGTAACTTCTGCTCGTTAATATTTGTATAACATCAAAAGCAGTTTTAAAAAAATAAGTTATTGTAAACTGTAGCAGTTGAAATTGGAGCTGAGGTAAACCATTTGTTCTTTATCATAGGTAAAGACGTGATCGGCCACTGGTTTCTGGATGGTACTGATGTTGATGTCAGGTTAGGCTAAGAAAATCCTTAACAAGTTCCCAATTCTATGCATGCAGGGGGCATGCGTTACTTTTGAAAACGAGATTGATTTCAATTCATCCGTATTACTTGTTTGCGGCTCAACAAAACAAACGCGCAGCAGGGTGGGGCCTTAAGGTACAGGTGATCTACTTCTTGACATGGAAGAGTGATGCAATATGTAATAAAAACAATCCGGCACATTTTCAAATATCAGCAAGACACAATTAAAGGTCTCCTCTACCAGAAGACTTGATCTGCCTCCCCATAGATCTCTTCAACCAGGTAGAGAAAAGATTCCAGCTAAACATAAAGCGAAGGTGTAGTCTGATCGTCCGGGTGAGTGTAGTCCTGAGAAGGACTGTTGTCGGTGGTAGTGACTGACGTTTCGACAACCTGTGCGGAAGTCAAGTGACTCTGATGATGACTTCCGCACAGGTTGTCGAAACGTCAGTCACTACCAACGACAACAGTCCTTCTCAGGACTACACTCACCCGGACGATCAGACTACACCTTCACATGTTACCCCCGGGTTCAAACCATTTACTAAACATAAAGCATCCACCACAATTTGAAAACTACTCTGTTTTAATCTTTCAACAGCCTTTTCAACGGAGCGAGATATGAAGAAGAAAGCACCAGGGCTGGGAAAGCATTGTACCTCGACGGACTTTATGCCTATGGCACAACTCCAGCCGTTAAGTTTTTGCAAAGTAGTTTTACTTTGGCCAGTTGGGTCAAATTAGAGGATCTTGTTAGAAGCCCGTCGACTATTTATGGTTATTGGAAAGATCCTCACCTTTTCCGTTTTACCGCCAACCTCGAAAACAAACTCCATTTTCAGATCAAAAGAGGGCTCCAGAACCTAATCGAACTTTCTGCAGGGTAAGTATGACTCATGTAATCTTGGCAATGATTATAAATTTAGTATATGCCTTCTCAGTCTCGGTTAGGATCCCTACGCAGAAGACAGATTCAGCAGAGTATTTGAGGCCGAGAAGGCTTCTGGTCTTTTTTTATTTTTTTATTTTTTAGATATCCAATGCCCCTTAATTAGGACCATTTCGTGTACCATTATTTCATTTCTCCCACCTATGCATTGGGAAATGTTTAAGTAAGAGTAAGTTATACTATTTTTAACAGATCTCCAACAATTGACGAATGGTTTCTTGCTGCCGCTGTGTGGGACGAGACTAAGAATGAGGTTTACTTATACCTTAATGATAGTAAAGTGGGGAATTCTGGTGGCCCCAGCAACTATAACCCACCAGCTTACGACTACGAATTCTTCGACATTGGGCTGAAGAGAGATGCCAATCACACAATGAAAGGATATCTGAGAAATCTCATGATTGTTAATTCTCCTTTGAGCACTGAAGAGATATTTAATATGAGAGGTACAAAAAAGTTAACTAGCTGAAAGTGCCGAGTCCCTCGGACAAACTTAAGACTCCCGTTAAGAAATTTTAGGATAATTGCCACATATTCCAGCTTTTAAAACCCATTTCAACAAGAGATATCTGTTTTGTTTTTTGATTTCGCACAAAGAAAATATGATTACCCAACGAGGAATTGAGCCCAAGACCATCGGATTTTGCGCCACGATATACTGCTTGTTTTTTGGCCATACTGACATAAAATGTTGGAAAAAGTCTACGAAAATATCTAACTGATTGTGAGGATAAGTCGCAAACTAAGAGAAATGGAAATAGCCATGAGTAATTTCACAATTTCAATTGCTTCAAAAAAATGAAAGCTAATTCGCCTAATCATTAGCCATACAAAATGAAAAATTTGTGCAGTGATCAATCTCTTAGAATCATGTTGGGGTGCCTATAGACCAACATAGCAGTTGTGCATAAGTTGCGAATTCGCTTTGGTAGTCCTGTTTTTAACCTGGGTTTACTTTTTCAGATCCAAATAACGAAGCCTTTGCTGGTGTTTGGATCGGTCTAAATGACGTAACCACAGAAGGAGATTTTCATTGGCCAGATGGGAGTCACGTTACATACGAAAAGTGGCACGCCAACGAGCCAAACAACACCTACAAATACCAAGACTGCGTCCAAATGCTTATTAGTGACGGGACCTGGGACGATACAAGCTGTGGAAAGCGTCTTCCATTTCTTTGTGAAAAGAAACATTGAATTGTCTGCTATTTTTAACTGCTTTAAGAAAGAAAGTACATCGTTAATTTAAAATTAAAGCCGGGCTTTCCTGTTTTTCTGTAAAGCTTACATACCAAATAGTAATTTTAAATGCTTAACTCTTCTAAACACAAGTGCACATACTTGTAAACAACGCACAAATCTACTTTTTTTTAATCATTCTAGGCAACATATGGCAATCTGCGGTCTTTCCTTACACTTAGGTAGCACGGAAAGCCGTAAAAATCTTGAACAAAAGCTCATCTTTCAAACCGGCAGTCTAAATCCCACAGGGATCAACGAACGCTTTGCATTCCACTAATTTATTCTTGTTTTTCTCGTTGCCATGTTTCCACCAATAACGTAGCTCCATTTTCTGCCTTTAAAAGCACACACAACCCACAATTCCTCTATTCGCTCCGACTAAGAGCTAACGCTCGAAACGTCAGCTTTTGTAATCGTTACGGTGGCCAATTTACCATTTCAACTCTGTTGACATATCCAAAATACTTTTTTTTAGGCCGCTTTTCTTGAGCACAACTGATAATCTTTACTCTTCAACTGACTGGAAAAGTGGAGTTATGGGATCAAACTTATCACCAAAGCATCGTGTCAAAATATACATGAATCATATTCATATTTTCACCAGTGTGAGACCAAAAATATGTGAATCCTTTGGAGGAATCGCGTCGAAGATCATTCCTTCTATTGCCTACAGAGGCACACCTACCTTTGTAATGAACATCTACGCTGCATGTGAGAAAAGCGCAATCACAGCACCCCCGCCCTTTGCCACACTTCGTCAAAGTATTCAGGGTCATTGCAATGATGAATTCTTGACAACAAGCAGGTTCATTATACAATTTCTAAGTGATAATCACAGATTTCTTTATTTTGATAATTTGTCTAAAACTATTGACTTCTCCATGGTCAGACTTAACAGAAGATAAGTAAACTTTCACTTGAGACTGTAAATCACAATATCTCGGTGGGTTTTAACCAGGACCTGAAAAAAAAAATTAATTATCAACAATTCAGTAGCTAAAGCAAGGGAGGCACAACATAGAGCTAATGTAATATTGTTACCACGGTCGGTCATGTAAAAGGACAAGTCTGCCTGACTTTATTGTAGTTCATATACATCTAGACTGATATCTATGTTGATTGCGGACTGAGGAGTCTTTCTTGAAGCTCAGATTTGTTATTTTGTTTGTGAAGATAAGGTATGATAGTAGTTACGACTCAATAGTCTGACAGGCCACACTTTTATTCAGTAGCCACACCACCCTATATCAAATAAGAGAGCGTCTGCAAAATGTTTGCAAGTATGATTCAGTGCAGTTGTATCATATGTTTAACAATTTCATATCGGTAAGAATTGTACTGAAACAGTATGACACACATGCGGGAAGCAAAACAATGCAAATTTGAAAAGAAGGGAAAACAGTTTAAAATTTTTTTCTCCGTTGTGAATCATGTTATCTCTAAAAACAAAGGCAATAGCATTGACTTAAATAATGACGAAGCAAATTCAAAGAACCTATCTAACTTAAAATGTGAATGGATCTGAAACTGATCGACTCGCAAGAATGTAGCGACAACTCCGCATTCAAGTGTTTTCCAATGGTAAATAACCAATCGAAAACCAAACGCATATCAAGAAAAACATTGTCCTCAGAGTGTACCAACCCTTAAGCTTGTAAAGATCCAGTACGAGCCTCTGTTCGTTACAATCGTCTTTCCAAAAAACAGCAGGGACACCTTCCATTGGTTGACCTTTATACGGGTGGACACAAAACCCCGACGCCTTATGTTTCAATGTTTTGTGAGGAGTCCTACATATAAAAACGCTATAAGATATCATAAAATGACTATACTTTTTCCAAAGTTAGGTCCACCTTTGACCTACATGGAACAGGCTAAACGAGATTATCGAAGGAGAAGCATTGACGAACAATAATTTTAAGAAGGCTCTAAACCAAATATACCAAATTCTAGATCTCTACATCCCCCCTCCCCCCCTACCCATCCAATCCCCCAGGAAAAAAAAAACAGTTGTAAGTCAGATTTTTTAAAGAGGGAAGGCATACTCATTTTCTGTCACAGATTATTTGGAAGACACTCCGCTTTGAAATATACCTTTCGCGTTGTAAAGGCTACTAAGACGCTTTTTATGCTCTTGTTTCGTCTCACGTCTTTTACACCTCTTAGGAAATAGTACTGATATAGAAGGTTGATGGGACGCGAATGGTTAAATATTTCACTCCTTCAATGGTGTTTATAATCTTTTAAGACACTATTTTTTATTATTGTACCTTTGAAATTTCGACGCATTTAAATCACAAGTGCTGGAGAGAATCAGACGCATATCCGCTGTCACTCCTTTTCCTGTAACCGTAACAGTGGTATCGTTTGTAATTCGCTCGGATTATTTTTTCGCCATTGAAACTAAAATTACAAAAGATAATCCCTCAAGTCACGAGGATGGATCTTGCATCTGGGGGTAAAATTTTAAAAAGTCGTTTCATGTTTTGAGCTTTCCGGCAAACAGCAGATCTATTTTTCTCAAAGATTTCCCAATGCATTAACCCCTTTCTACCAGTTCTGAGGCAGTTCACTGTAAGCCGAACAAAATTTCAAATGATTTAATACTCCAGCAATAATTCTAATGTGGCCTCAACTTGGCAGTGGTGCTGCCACAGGGCGGTTGTTCGCCCACTGTTTTCCGGGTAATTAGAGTATTGGTCTTTGTGGAGGGATTAAAAGCGGAAAACCCAGAGGAAAACCTTGGGAAAAGGACGAAAATTAACGACAAACTCAATACGCGGCAAGTTCTGGAATCAAACCCAGGCCTCTGCATTGGAAAGCAAGTGCTCTCACCACTGCCCTATCAGTTTATTGATTTCCTAAAAAGACGAAACTTACCCTCGGGACAGACTCTTTTGCCGCTGCAAGTATGAACGAGGACTTCACCTTTATAAGTGAAGTACATGTAATTTTGGTCGCATCGAGAAGACTGGTGATAGACAAGTGGACTGTTGTCCGCTGGAGTACAGCTGGCGCTTTCTGGCAGAAGGCAGAACCCCCCAGATGCTTGTATTGGACTGTCAAAGACTAAAGAGCAAAAAAGTATAATTAAGATAACTAAAATACTCTTTTAGAAATTTTGCTATCTAGAATGCTTTCTACGGTTTGCCTTTTGGCACGACAAATAATTTTGCATAGGTTTACCAACCTTGTAACTTTAGGAAGTCCAGTCGAAGTCTGTTTTCGGAGCAATCATCGTTCCACATTATAGCTGTAGTACCGCTTACGGGTGTCCCGGATAAAGGATGCACACAAAACCCGGATGCTTTATGTGTCAGAGTTGTATGAATAGTCCTAAGAAATGAGTAAAGATGCACTGATAAAGTATAATAGAAAGTTGAAGTTCGAAATTTCTGAATGCTCAGTGCATTATGGGTGTAGTTACCGACCTATGGAATTTGGACGCATCTGGTTGGCACGTGTTTGACAAGATCAACGGTGTTTGCCAGGTCACTGTTCCTGTTAAGTGAAGAGGAAGTTTACTTTGCAGCTGGCTTTCCTGTCCTCACACAGTAAGATGGCAAGAGAGCGTGCAAACGCTGGTGCATTGGTAGACAGTTATTTATTTGTAATTGATCCAAATAATCGACTTGCGCATTTCAATTCTCCAAATAAGGAGATTAGAATTAACAGTAGTACTGAAGATCTTTTGGAAGAGGTAATGCACTCTGCTGTCTTATACAATCAAGTGAACGTGAAGGTTCATTTTTACCTTTTTTGAAGAATTTTCTAAACTTGCACGCTAAAATACCAACAAATTAAACATACCTAAAGGACAAACTTTCTTTCCACTACATTTATGAGTAAGAATGTCATTGTGGTATGTAAACATCATATAATCCTTTGAGCATTCTGGCGTGTCCTTTAAATAAACCAGTCTGGTATTGTCCACTGGATTGCAATCCCTACTCTCAGGCTGGAGACAAAAACCACCGTGTGCTCTGATCGGACTTTCTGCAAGAAAAACTAGCCGCGGGCCATAAATTTATTTTCCAGCTGGATGTTAACCATGCAAAAAAGTTACTGATGGTTTTCGGAAAGAATTTCAGATAATAGAGTGAAACATCGCTTCTGAAACCTGTTTTAACCCTTTAAATCCCATGAGTGAATAAGACAGAATTTCTCCTTATAATATCAGTGCAATATCAAGCAGACAAATGAAGAGAAAAAAAAATCAATTAAGGGATTATAACATTTTCTCCAAGATAGAATCATACAAATTGTATGGCAGGCAGTAAGGACAATTAAGATCTCTCCCCTGAGTTCATGGTTGGATCAGAACCTAAATACCATCCGATTAAAGGCTGCAGGGCATGCGAAAAAACACCGTTTTCTTTCGTTTCGAGATAAAAACAAAGATTAAACACACATTCAACGTTTAAGTTGATTCTCCCCATAAAAAAATTGACTGTCAACTATTAATTTTCCAAATGATTTCTGTCGCTAATTTCGATGTGACGTTCATGATCTGAATATACTAACCTGGAGCTGGCGTCGGTTGGGTTCGGTTTTTGTCGATTTCACCCTCGTTCATCCAATACCATATCACGCCCGGGTTCGCCATTACACCGTATATCCAAGGGGCAGGATTGTTCGATGTTTTTTCGGAGATGATCGATCCCCATTCGGAATAATCCGAATGTGTCGAAGTTGTTAATAAACCCGACCTTGCTCCTAACCAGGGCATGCGCTTCTCAAGAGAATCCCGCCAGTTATATCTCCAGACGTTAAAACGTTTCACGAGAGTAATGTCTGTCTGCTGATTATTTTCGTTAACAAAGCTGATGAGAAGTAAAATTATAAATATTCGTGCGAACAGCCAATTTATTTATTACCCTAAAATATAACGAAAAAGATTGCAAACTTTGTGATCGGAGATGAAGGCAATGACAAAACGCCAAGAGACCGTCATTATTTATCTAACGGAGGAGGAGTCAGACTGATTTGGATTGTGTCACGATAAAATTGTCCTCATACCCCCAAGGTAGTTAATTGGCAGTCACTTTTCTAGAGTCTTTTCTTTATTCTCTCTTGGCGACAAATGACCCCCTCTTTTCCCCAAGAAAGCCATGTGATCTCCCTCCCCGAAGATCCTTCGCTTCCCCTCCCCCCAATGCCTTAATGATGGAAATGACATGACGAAATACATCTTTCTTCATTTCATTACCAAACTCAATATTGATCATCTTTCTTACTCTATTCATCCTGACGCTGTTGATATTTGCTGATCCAAGCAGTATGCAGGATGCGAGTCTGACACAAACCTAATGTTGGCCTCGCTCAACATAGAGGCTCCCTTTGGCTCAGCTGTAGAGCATCAGGGCCCAGGATACCCAAGTCTGAGCTTCGATTGCTGGTGGGGACTCAGAATATGTCTATGTCCAACGCTTGTTAAAAAACAGAAAATCTATCCCCATGATGTATGAACTGTCTATAAACGCGCCTCTTTTCTATAGCAGGTAACACGAGCATGATTCGGTTATTGAGATTTATACGTAACCCATAATGCCCCTTTAGTATTTATGATTGATAATCACTTACTTGTATTTCATTGGAGCCGTCCAAACTCCACCCCAGTGTCCTCTCTCGTTAGCTTCCAGACGATACTTAAACCTTTTTGCGCCACCCAAAGCCTTAATCTGGTCAGCGTACCCAAGTATAGAGTAGTCCCTCGATAGCAACGGCCTTGTAGGGTTTTTAAGCTTAACTTCGTTCTTTTTCCAACCGTTGGAAGCACTGGTAACGAGTAGAGTATAAGCTCCTTGCTCTGACGTCATATCGCAATACACCGGCAAGTACTCATGGGAATTCTTCCGAATAAAGTAAAGTCCGTCCTTTCCTGCTGCCTTGTTTCCACGGTTTTCGCTTTTAATCTCGTTGCAGGATCTCCTGCGAAACACAGTTGATCGTAATTAGAGAAATATTTGGACATAATGGTGAGAGAAAGAGGTGACTTTGGGGGTAAAACTGGAAAAAGTATTTCATTCAAGAATCAAAAAGTGGTTCATCATTTTTTAGCGGAGATAGCTATGTGTAGAAAAGAAGAATGAAAACCCTCACGAAGGAAAAAGAACGGTCGGAGGCCTGAAATTTTAAAATACGTCATTTCTGACGCAGCCCACTGTTTTCCTTACCAGGTACCCTCACGCAGCCAGAGTCTTTTAATCCCAGTTCTCGCTCGACTTACACCATGTGTTGAATCCAACACAATGGCGCTATTAATGTCTGTCTGATCGTCAGCACTTGTCAACAGAGCATAACCGGAAGTTGTTAGATGTGGCAGATGCTTGGTGGACTTGACTTGACCGGCATCCCAGTGTCCCTGCTGGTGAAGTAATTTCGCGCATCCTCCGTCTGATCGACTGGAGGTAAATGAGCATCCAGCATTTCCTGTCCAGACTCCCTCCCACGTGTTGGCGCCATCTTCCTCCATCCGATACTAAGATAACAAAATTCTTGAAAATCAGCAACCTTGTTTGATGACAACAAGACTGAAACACTTACTTGCTTTGGGCAGAAAAATTCTTCTCTTTGAGGATTTACGTGACATGAGTTAGTCATAGCTAACTGATAACATTTCTCACCACAAAGTTAAAATGCTGGTAGGTCCTCACCTGAAAGTGTTTCATTTTCGTAATCTTGTCTGCCATCTCTAAGAGGGAAAAGTCAGAGGACAATGAAGGACTATGGGTATTTCTTGACTTCACGCTATCTCTTGTCCATCCATTGTCACTTGCGCTTGTCAATACTAGAGTCCAGGCTCCACCATGGTCACTGAATTTACAAAAGGTCTGAACTTGACGATCACCGGGCTTAATTGTATACAAACCATCTGCAGAAAGTTAAAAATTTCAAAGGACAAGTTGATAAGCTGTGGCCTGAGCAGAATTGTCACTCTGCACCTCATATTGTGTCTCTTCAGGTGTAAATGCTAAGGAACCTGTGAGGTCAAGGACCTTTACCACTTTTCAGTATTTCTCAACTAGACAGTGCCGGGCTCTCTCATAATTGAAGAAACAGCTTTACTACCACCGGAACTGCAGTATTTCAGGTCATTTTGAGTGTGATAAAAGAAACGCTCTAAATGAAATGTAACCATGACGTAATCGTTTACTGATAAGACAGACAACAACGAGTAAAGGAAAATCCGAAAAGAGAGTATTACGTTTAAAGGCAACAAAGAAATAAAAACGACTTTGCCCACCCCACCTACGTATCTTTTTACCTGTTAATGGTTTACTATATAACCCTCTCAACTGAATCTCAGCACATGACCTTGGAGGACTATAGCTCCGTTCTCTGACCCAATACCAAATGTTCACTGGATGCTGTTCAAGGTCTTTTCCATCCAACCAGGGCGCCGGGAAGAAAAGTTTGGAATTGGCTGTTGCAGATGAAACAAAGAAAATGATTTTGTTTGATTTAGGGTATGCGGGTAGTCCTTGTGCTACCTCAGGGCGTGGTCACCTCTGCCTTGCATAGACCTTACTGATAATTCTAATGATAAAAACAGAAAGTCGCCATTAAAAGCGTCTATGCAGTATAAAAATCGAAACTAATTCTATGCAGCTGGACGAATAGCATTAATGAAAGGCGCTTTGTGTTAAAGAAATCTGTATGCAGTAGCAATCCTGTCTCGTTCGCAATGACACAGCATGTTTTGTTAAATCCCGTCCCAACCTGATATCTGTCCAAAGGCATTTTTTGGTGTTAATAGGTCCGTTTTTAATCTATTGGGAAAAATATATTTTACGATTAAATCCATTTCAAGTTAGTTCATCAACTGCAATCAAATCTTTCCTTCGAGACCACTTCTCCCCAGCGACCATCTCTCCACAACAGCTACTCTTTTTTTCAGCTGGTGACCAGCATCTAGTTTCTCCTTACAATCATCGCCCCTAAATCACACATCAAAGTCTCGAGAGTGAGGTAAATGACATGCAACTAACAAAGCTCTTGATTGTTTAAAAAATTCTCCTTGTCAGCACCTTAGGAAATGTATAGAGAACAGTATGGAGAATATGATTACTGATCAGGCGCGTAGCGTGGTCATTTTTTCAAGTACGCACAAGTACATATGATCTAGAAACCTAACTAAACTGAGCGAAAAATACTGCGTTCTTTATTTCTTGTTTGAAATAGTTGTGTGAATACAAGCAAAGAACAAAGCGTCTTGCCCTTATTTCGACCAAACTTGGCGCAAACACAACATTGTTTTCAAATTTTTCTGGTCACTTCAAGTACGCACGTGCGTATATGCGTAGAGGACGCTACGCACCTCCTGATGCTAGACAACTTTGCATGTACATACTCCTTACCGATCAGAGTTCCCCACTGACGATCTCCAGTGGCATTCCATGAAGTCGTTAACTTAGGACCAGAAATCCAAGGCATTCTTTTCTCCACTCCATAGTCGTCGTATTTCCAATTGTCGAATTTCTTCACCAACTCGACAAAGGTCTGCTTGTTGTCCGTGGCAACGAAAGTGTACTCACGAGGAGCGCGCCAGATTCCACCCCAGCGACCTTAAAAAAGGAGTGGAAGTTGAAGGCCCAGGTATTCTGTAGAACTTTATCAAGAATTAATTTTTTGAAGCACAGATGGCTAGTTTTTAACTTAATAATAATATTAATAATAGCTTAATAACTTCTAGAGCGCTATTTTCATTCAATGATCAACAGCGCTTAACAACTTAGAATACTACAGTAAATTCAAACTTCTTTTTATGTATGAAAGTAATGAACACTACCAGGAGCCCATTACCCGACCCCCCCCCCCCATTACCCTGGGCTCCTGACACTACTCATGTAGTATTGAAATTAAGACCTGAAAAAAATTCAGGCCCGTACTGCGAGGATCGTTTTCATACATTTCTTAAAACCGCAGTGCGCATATATGATTTTCATATATTCAGATTTATTGCTTTATGATTTCCTGTTGTTTTTCTAGTAACAAATGCGTGACAGCGCGGCTTTTTTAATACTGTACTCTTTTCTCTTGAGTTTTTGACATAATTAACAAAATAATGGTCAGTCAACAGAGACAGATATGTTCAGCGCTGTTTTAAAGTAATCCAGAACTGCTTTAGTTTTGCTTAACTATGCTGTGTGATTGGCGTAGAAAGTTTGCACCAACCTCTTACTTATGAGTTTTTTTGTTGCTGTTTCACGCAACTCAATCTAAAACCGCCCCGTATAACATGCTCTATCTCAAAGGTCTCCTCAAGTGTATACTTTACCCCTTTCTTGGCCTTCAATTCGATACTCAAACCATTCCCCAGCTACATTTAAACTGTTTTTGATGTCATCCGCTTTGTTTAAAATGGAGAAATCTCCATTTAAAGTCGGCCTGTTCGGATTTCTCTGTCTGATGTTATCAGCTGTCCACGTGTTTGTGTGGCTTGTGACCAATAGTGTCCAGCCGCCATCGTCACGTGTCATATCGCAATAAGTGTTCACCGCACCTTTTCCGTCAGGGTTGATTGTGTACACTCCATCTGGGAACTGGACGCCAGTTTGCTTTCCCAGAGAGAGAAGATGATGACACGAATGAACCACTGTTGAGATAAAATAGGAAACTCACAGTAGAACATAGATCTTTGAGAAACTCTTGTGAGTCCCAAATAGGGTCGAGTTTATAAACGTGTCCGTCCTACTCAGAGAGTGCCTTTAAAGACGGTTAGAGATAACTTTGTCATTCGGCACAAAATTTGGTGTTCTATGAATGGATTTGTACTCTAATAGCAGGTTCCTAGAGATCAGTTCCTCTCTAACTTTCTTGAACTACTTTCAACTGGTTTGTTCACCTATTAATTGCGCTGTAATCACCATTCTGGAAAACATGGTTAAAAATTCAAATGCTCGAGACGGTTTCGACATAACTGGTCGCGATCAAATGTTCAATTAACAGAAAGCGATATTTTTAGAGACTGTTATCAAAAGAACCTTTCGACATTGTTGGTTATAGCAGTATGTGGGACGTTAGGAACATGTGAAACTAAATTAGCTTCGTTCTTCCCTATGTTCTTTGTGACTGAATGGCGAGGTATTAGGGAGCGAAATCGAGGGGTCATGATCTAACGTTCAAGTCCTCGTGCAGGAATCAGATTGTGAGTGATTAAAAGAATCACTTTGTTCACCATTCGAGCTTAAAATTCCCTTTTTATTCTCAGACTTACTCAGGTTGAAATATCGTTTCGTGGTATAACAACTGTACACTACCTGGACAACTGTTCGTGTTACAAGGAGACTTTTCTGTCCTCTGTTTGCCACAGTCTCTTCCTCTGTGTGTTGGGGCTGGGTTATCACAGAATCGATACCTGGTCTTTATTCCTCCTCCACAAACTCTTGAACATGGGCTCCATTTAGACCATGCGCCCCAGCGTCCATGGCGCACTTGTTTGGCTAAAGTAATTTTAATATGCCTTTATTTTAGTATGGCTGCTTTCGAAAAGGTTCTTTGAAGCGTCAGTAAACACTATGATGTAAATGTAACGGACATGTTCAAAGTTAAATTTTATTTTAACCCCAAAATTTTCAGTATAAGAGAAGTGAAACATTTGAGCACCCTATGTTATTTAAAAGCATTTTACCTGTTGTGCAGGCTGTATCTGGATCTAAATTTCCCCGACAGTGACATTTTCCTTTATTCGTACATATCTGGCAAAAAAAGATGTTTTCAACATATTTTTGGAAGCCTTCGTTGTTTTCTTATTACTAATCAACCGGAAACATCAGTGAACGTTTTGTTTCGCAGTCTATATTCCATATAGAACTGAAGGCTCAAGTGTATACTCTGGATACTCTTGAAATTTAAAATTTTTTCCAGTTCTGAAAGTATACGAGATTTTACGAGATCACCTGAGCTACTGCTCTCGAAAGATAAATGTAGGAATAAATGATAAATTTGGAGGTGACTTTGAATCCCTTCAGTTAGGCTCCTTGGACTAAAATCAGAATAGAACAAGAACTTTACCCAACATTATCTCTTTGTCTTCTATGTTTGCCCAAGTTCGTGTCGTACGTCTCTAAACCAATCAGAATGAGCATACGAAATATCATGACCTTACCCCTTTGCCCGCGCATTCCTTGCCATCACTTGTTTTTGGACAGGTCGATGAAACCAGTCGATCAACGTGTGTACATCGATTTTTAACACAAATCTTCGGTAGATAAAAAGTAATGGTAATGTTTACATGTTTCATTTATGCACCAAAGACAAATCACAAGTTAAGCAAATATACGCACGCTGAAAGCGTATCCTAGAGTGGTGGTGACATCTGCCCCCACCCCTCCCCCCCCCTTCCACTTCTGTGGAAGGATGTGAAAAATGTGAATTGATGTGAAAATATATCCTACTCAAACAACTAAAATATATCAATGAGTGCCAGTGAGGAGTTAGGAAGGTTCCCCTCCCTCCAGCTTTGACCACAAAATCCTGGCTACTTCCCTGCGTGTCAAACAACTTTTTAAAATCACGCTTAAAAGCGTGATTTTGCTCGTCACACGAGAATAAAAACTGACACCCACTGAGTTAGTTAGTTAGTTAATTAGTTAGTTAGTAAGTCCTCCTCGTGTGTCTTGTTTATAAAGTCTTAACTAAACAATGCTATCGGTTTCTGTCGGTTGTCAGTGCGTCAGGCTGTCCCCATGTCCACCCTCTGTCCCTCATAGCCCTCTATGATTCTCCTCAGTTTCCGCCAAGTCTCCTCAAGACACTTGTTGAGGCTGACTTAAAAT